CTGGTGGCTTAATTTTGACCAACACCCAAAACGGGCATGCCTGCCTATACCTTGCTTGAGGCGACATGTTTCTTCATTCTGGCGAAGCTTCCTGTGGCAATGATACAAGGGTTTCCCAGGCGACCTGACTGTTATAGGGCCAGCTGATGGGTAACTTTTTGCAACATCAAGAGGCAGAAGGCTTTAACGCGTACACACTCGGGCATGTTTGGCTCCTGCCTTGACACGCTCGGGCCTTGATGTACATCCTCTTTCTTCAGTTGCCCAAAGCAGCTCGACCTTTTGCCCGTTTGGTTTTCCCATTTTGGTCCACATTTCGTCGCCCCAAAAGGTTACCTTTTAGTTCATGGTCCTTTGGGCAACTGAGTTTGGAAACCTTTGGCGAACCTCACCTCCTTTCTCTTGTGTGTGAATTCTCCGCCTCAAATGTACTCTTCAGCAGGAGAACGATCATGGTTATGCATACCGGAGATGGAGGAATGCATACACCTGATACTCTCCATAAATTGTTCGCCTAATCTGAGCAACTGGAGAGGAGGTTTCCCAATCTCTGGAAACAAGCATCGGTCACTGTATATGATTGCGTACTCCCTTTCCCCACATGTTTTGTTTATTAACTTTGGGTTCCAGATATGGGCTGCCAACTCGGTCAGGTACAGTTTTACGCATCAGCCTTTGGGCCCCTGTTTCAGTTTCCGTGGGTGATGTCTATCTCCTGGCAGGAGAAGAAGGAGGGCGAGAAGGTGTGAGCGCTGAGCATTTCGAGATTTCGGGCTACGCGGCAATTTACGAGCTTGGCGACATCGGGGCTCCCTGTTGGCAGCTTGGCCATTGCAAGCATTTTTTTTTTTTTCTCGAAAAGAAGCGGGCAAGGTTGAGGGGTACTATAACTAGGTCCCCCAGCTTGGTGCCCTTTTGCCGTTTTTTTTGGGGGGAGCGTTCCCCTACAAAAATCGACTACAGAAAAAAAAGGTACCCTTATGCTAACCTCTCTACTGGAGGACCTAGATAACAATCTGTGAAATCTCCCACTTGATTTTTGATGCGTCCTGCATTTACAAGAGTCCGTTCCATTAGCACATCATGTCAGTCCCAGTTACACACGCAACATGTCCAAAATCTGGTGCCAGCCATTACAGCTCTCCCGCCAAATATGGTATTTTGCTTTTGCGAGTTCTTGGACTTGATACTTTGTGGTAGTGGCAAACAGGCAGTTTCCTTTTTTGGCCAACTCACTCAGGAAGTGAGGGATGCCAAAAGGAAAGCGTCCGCCATTTTAGAATAAGCTGATAACAGCGCGAAGAGCACCCTTGGCTATTTTATTATGTGGCTCTACTACCTGGTTGAAATGAGTTTATAGCAAGTCCTGTACAAATCTTCATAGCCTTGTTAGTAGAACCAAAGTCAATGAGCGCTGCGAACATGTGCTGTGGATACAATGCGGGCATTTCAATAGGTACTTGCTTTGTGGTGAATTGGCCTCAGTCAATATTCACATGTGCACTGTTTTCGCAAGCGAGCAGTGTTGAGAGCAGCAGGATGTGTGTGTGTGTGTGCGCGTGGGTGTGTGGGTGTGTGTGCTTTTTTGGCGCTGTGTGTGTTTTTTTGGCTGTGTGTTTTTTTGGCTCTTGCCTGCAGGAAGAAATAATGAATAGAATGGACAGGGGTGTGTCAAATTGATTGGGGGAGCCCCACAGTTGTGGGGTTCCAATCTGGTTCCGTTCAACACCACACAACAAATGGTTCACCCTCACAAGACACCCAATGGAGATGATAGTTGACACAAAACTATGGTCCTGTCGGACCAAGGCTGCATCAAAGAGTACCAGGGTCCCGACAAAAAAGTAAAACAACAACAAACATGGTTATCAAGCGGATCAGTTGCAGACCTCGCCAAATTTCTGCGTGAGGGTCGAGCTTTGCCGGCGCGGCATCAGCCAATTCATATGAAGACGGTGTGGTTTGTCTCAGCGAGAGACCGCGGCTTCCTTTCAGTTGGAAGGGACCGCCCAGGTTTCAAGATCTGTGCAGCCGCCTCTTGCTGTGGAACATTTTCGAGTATCCCATGTATCAGGGCTATGCAAGCGACAGCCATTCCCCCATTGGAACTGAATTTAGTGACCTCATGGCTCTTTTGGGGCCTGGCAAATTATGTTTCTTCAGTCTCCCTTTCTCCGTTTCGCGGCCTGCAGCAGGATTGATGCAAGCTCACACTCCGCGATTGCGATTCGCGCAGTTTGGCTGGCAGTCGGAAAGCTCATGTAGGCCGTGAAGGCCAAATGGCGGAACTGGCACGGTCAGGACAGATGGCGAGTGCGTTGACAGCCAGGCTGGCTCTCGTTCAGAAATGGGGGTTGTACCACAACCAACGAACACGGGCCGCCAGGTTTGTTCCTTGCCTTTGTTGCGCATGCGGCAATCACCCGCTTATTGGCAATACACGCCGCATGGTTCCGACACAAACACACACACAGAGACATATATATATATATGTAAATAGGGATATTAATTATTGATATATACACATATTCAAGTCCACCTGTGTGTAGGTAACCACCAGAACCACCCTTTAAAGACTGAAGAAAACATAGCTGCTTACCTTCGTGGTAGCTGGGGTCCACCTGGTTTGCAGGTGAGTAAGGTCGGATTCACTTCTCGAGTTGGACTTGAGTCACTTCGTGGGTTTGGTTGCCATTTGAGTGGCAAACCAGATTGGTTCCTGTTTCTGGCCAATCTGGATGGGACATGAAAAGACAAGCAACAGGCAGGTGGAGTTGATCCTGGGCGTTGCGGCTGTCCGATTCCAGAGTTTCCTGCCCAAGGCAGTATATCCACACATCCTTAAAGATGGCATTGGGAGTTCGGGTGACCCTGGAGGTCTCCCTACTTATAGTTGGGTGTGTGTGTTTTCTGGTTGAGTTGGTACACCCAAGACCTGTGATTCTTGTTTCGCTCCTGTTTTCAAACTACCAAAAAGGGGTAGCCTCAAACAAAAACAGACCCAGTGGTTTTTCCCCAGCTGAATATGCGGCTTTTTCCCAGGCAAGCTCCAGAGGGAATGGCATGTGGCTCCTGGCTAGGGCTTTCGCCATCGGTTGCTGTTGGGGATAGATCAGTTCATGTTGGATAGATTTCCAAATAGGGGGACCCCAAACAAATCACGGGGTTTCGTTTGGATTTCCTTTCAACCAACCAAACAAAAAGTAGAAGTACCCTCGAACAGTCCACAGCTTTACCTTGTGGGGCAAGTTTCAGTATGACCTTTTGGTTGGGGATATGTCCTTTTGTGGTGACTAGACAAATGGAGTTGGGGGATCCCCACCACCCTCGCCCCTTTTTTTGTTGGCGGGGGGATAGGTTCGAGGCCAAGCCTTGGTGCTTCCGGGAGTTTCGCCACTATAGCAGGTAATCAGAAGCCATCATCTGAAACCTAGAGGTAGACGTACTGAAGCACTAGGTTTATAAGTTGGACCTTTACCCTACATGGAAATGCACAGATCCTTGATGGACGGTCCTTTTAAGGGAACTTGTCACTTGGAATTTTGAAGGGAGAACAGCCTTTATTTGTGTGTTTTGGTTGAAGATGAATCTAGTCAAAATGAACAGCATCAGAACCGGTTTCCAATCTAATAAAGACTATGACAGACACTGACAAAGGCGCCTTCGGGAAGGACTTGTTCTTTGTAGATCCAAGCCTTCTGTTATGTCGCATGGTCCCATGGTGGGGCTGGAAGTACATGGATCAGATGGGCCTCTTTGTAGGTGCCTCGGCCATCGTCCATTCAGACCGAGCAAGCGCTGAATTCCGAATCCGTACCGCGGGGTGGCATCGCGAGTCTCTGGGACTCGCTGCCAACTTGAATCAAGTTTCTCAATGCGCTCGGCTTGGAACAAGGGTGCCCCCTTGTCCGCCCTTAACCCTTTGCTAGTTACAATGCAAATCAATGTGTCCATGGGTCATAACCTATGCCTCCATTTTGGGGCGGATGAACATGTACCTATGTTGATGTTCACCAAAAGTACAGTGTACAGGGCTTTGACCCACAGCCGTGTCGCGAGGCAGGGGTAAAGGCGGATAGCTTGGGCCTTGTGCGCCAAGCAATCAGTTTCCTTCTCCCGATCGCCTTGTCAGAGGGCTCTGGGAGCGGAGGCCGTCGAACGACCAGCGACGAAAAAAACTCCGCGAGAGCGCGTATTGGTTTCTGGACGTGGCTTGGTTTGGGCATGACCGATTGAAACTGTACGGCTTGTCCCGGAGAAAGCTGGGTGCTAAACAACTATTATATGTATATGTATATATCTATATAGTGTTTGTCCCAGAAAGGAAGCAACGAGGAGATATGTAGTTGTTATTTAAGCTGTTCAGACCCTCCTTTAACACCCGGAAAGCCAAGCTCTCCATTTATCCTTAGTTGTCACAATGCTGAATGAAGCTAAGCTTCATATGGAAGAACATCTCATATCTGCGCAAACTCTGAGTGTGTGTTTCATTGTTGGTACTAATGCTTAACTTTCGAGACAGAAACACTGTTTTATCCCTTAGGTGTAGCAATCCGACCTTTTCACCAGTTAGTCTTGCCTGTTTGTCTGTGTTGCCTCAGTGGGCCATGGATGTGCAAAGTTAGTGCGCAGGAGGCTGATTTGTGAAGCGCCTTCATGAAGCAAGGTCACTTTACCCTGAGGATGCAAGCAGAAGGGGCCAAAGAGGAGCCACAAAGGGGGTACCTGGGCCAGTGTGAAAACAGTTTGCACCATTCCCTTTGTGCAAAGACAAAAGCGAGACTCCGGAAGGGGGAGGCGCCTGTAGCCACCAATTCAAGTCACGATGGCGAAGGCGATGTGTGTCCAGCCTGTTTCTTTTGCCCCCCCTCTGAGGGAATTACCGGGACCTTCATGCGATTTTGCGTCCACATTGCCGGATTTTCCGTGTTTGTTTGGGTCAGTTTGAGGGTCGGGGAGCCGCACGTGTTTGTGCCCCAGCACTGAGCAGTTGCCTAGCCATGTTTGACTTCGATGCGCTGGATGTGCTGGATTCACCAAAGTGGGAGACTCGCCTGGGGCGCTCTTTCGCAGTAATGCCCGACGGCGTGGGAATTCGAGACTCGGATGAGGGTGATTTGAGAAGCGCCCAAAACCTCCGTCGGCAGTTTGAGTAATTGAGTGGTTCTGGTGCCTGGATTTATGAGGGGTATGCTATGGCCTCTATGAATCTTTGTAACCATCTTAATTGAACCGGGTTTTGGGCGCGGCTCATTTGTGGGCAGGGGGTTCCTTGCAGGATAGAGCACAGAAACCTATGTGTCCTTTTTGGTCAGATTGGTTCATAGATGGCACTGTTTTCAGTTTGGTTCTAATCATTTACCAGTGGCATCTATGGGTCGAACAGATTGCCTGGACGGTAGCTGTTGCAATCTGCCCAAATATGGACTTTAACTTCACAAGCTGATTCCACGCATATACCTGTCGTTTTGTGTCCGGCGTTTGGTAGTTACTGTCCCGGAGCCGCTTCCGGTGTGATGCCACCTTTGGAAATGGCATGTATGTTAGATTTGTTGGGCATCAACTGTTCCATCGACTTCCAGTTCTCGTTATAAATCTCATTCGCCATATCGCTCTAAGTTCATAGCCTAAAGGTTCTCCGATATTCCAAGATAGACCGCTTATAATTTTTGCATGATGTAAGGTTCAATATTCTCAGAGAAGCTGTTTGCGCGAGGCATATGTCAGCGCACCTCCTTCTGCTATAGGTTGTAGACTCTTTGTAATTGCTGTGGGCCACTGTGGCGTGGTCCGATGAAATTAGCGTACTTAATATGAGAAATTGCCATTGGTTCTTGAGGTCCTTTGGGCAACTGAGCGACTATTTGCATGTTCTCACTACAAGTTTGGTTCAGAGGTTGGTGTTGGTGTTGCTTGCCGACCAAGATTTGGGAGAGCTACCCCATGAGACGCTTTGTTTGCTCTATTTTGTATCCCCTAAGAATCTATTTGGGCGTGTCTTTTTTGGGGGACCCGCCAAAATGGCAGTGTTCTTTTGGTTTCCCTTTAAAACACCAACAAAAAGGGTACCCTGAAAAACGAACACCCATGCGGGGAGCAGACTTTCTGGATACCTCTTCCTCTGTTTGGTCAGCTAGATTTACTCGCCTCTGCCAGCACTTTCACCAACCTCCACCAACCCAGCTAGCGTCTACGCTTGTTGGAATCTGAGTGTTTGAATTTGAGGGCACCCTTTTTCGGCTATTTGGCGAGCACGGTTGAGGTCTCTATTTCCTGACTTGCACTCTGGGTTGTACTTCCTGGTATCATGAACAATGAGCATTGTAGTAAGGCTTACAAAAAAAGACACCGGTAAGATCTCATGACCTGGCTATCAAAAGGATAGTTCAGCGTTGGACGTTTGGACTCATTTTGGAGCAAGATCAACTGCTTGAGCAATGGGTAAACTGAAACTTCCGGAGATGCAATCTACCTTGACCATGGCACGCGTGTGACATGTCTTGCATCACAAAGCGTACAAAGCCTCAAACGGGTGTGTCCTCTGTTTCGGGGGACCCCCTTTTGACTGGTTTCAAGGAAAAACCAGAACAACCCAGCATGACGCATACCCCTTTTTGAGGTCTGTGAAAGCCTTTTGCCTCAGATCTTCTGCAGACCATGCGACCGGATGAGTGACTCAGTCAGCGAATCGACCGGATCTGAGCGGATCTGACCGGATCTGTGCGTATCCCATGTTCCAGGGTCCAATGGACCGACAGATGACAGAATCTAGGTCCCCAGCTAGGTGCCCTTTTGATTACCGTTTCTTTTTTGGGGGAGGGTTCCCCCACAGAAATAGACAGAAAAAAAAGAAAAACAAGCGGGTGCCAACTTTTGCTAGCCTCTCTACTGGAGAAGCTAGGACTAATGGTGAACTCTGTGGCCACCTGTGGGCTGGGCAAGTCGAGGCTATGAGGTGCTCGGCTCTGGTCCTTGCGTGGTGCTCATTCCAGGCGAGGGAAGCTGAGGATCGGACTGGGAAGTCTACTTTCCTTTTGACACTCCCTGGGGTTTGTCTCAAAGGAAAGTCGGTGTCCTTTCGGTTTCCTTTACAACCCACAAAAAAGAGGGTCTCCTCAAGAAAAACAATTCTGCCACTAAGGCAGTACTTGGCTACTTGGCAAGTGGTAGCAAGCCGCGGAGAAGAAAGGGGACAACCGGGGACAACGCTTGAGACCCTCGTTCTTTGGTCCATTTTGAGACCTTTGACCTCGGCCAGAAATCTTGAAAATTCAACTTCCATTTTGTTTGTTTTGAAACGCCGCTAGGAGGATCTCCTGTGCCCTTAGGCGCCTTAGGCGCACTCCCAACAGCAATCAGCACTTGGGTTTCTATCTCTCACCGCGCGGCGGGGGAATCGATTTGCCTCTCCCGCTAGCCGGGAACACATTGCTGGGGTTCCTGTGGTGCTGGGGAGAAAGCAAACCTGGGTTCATGATTTGCACTTTTCGTTTTAAAGTTTTAAAGGGAATCAAATGTGTTGTTTTGTCCTTTCCGGCTTAAGGAAATGAAAGTGGAACCATCTCAGAAGTGTCCAAACTGTGTGTGTGAGTGTTTTTCCAGAATTGAAAACCCTGGATTTGGTCGATCCCAGAAAAAAAGGCGATGTGGTTTGGTTCCGGAGGGTTCGGGGGATACCTGGGCTTTTTGGTGCCCAGTTGTGGTCACCGATGGGACCGGGCGAAAGACGAAAAGTGCCAGCCATGTCTTGAAGCTGCAATGAACATGCATGGCTGTGGGTTAAAACCAATGGGATGCCATTTTGGGGTGCACCTCCATTGTCTATTTTAGTGGGGATTGGGATGTTCACAGGTGACCCATGGCCATATTCGTGAAGGGCATAGGACATCTCGCACTGACTGTTTGTGGCATGTCACTTTGGGCCAACCCCCTGCTTAAAGCATACCGAGACACCCAAAACATCTTTTAGCCAGGGTCGGGTCCACTTTGCCCCATGCCCGACCCTGTCAACCCCTCCCATTCGCCGGACTAAACTTTCCGGACAGGTGGTCAGAGCGGCGTTTGCGAGTGCCAGCAGTTCCCCTTGCTCCGCAGGCAGGGACGACGCTGTCGGGGTCGGAATTCGTGCTCCGAGGCCCAACAGGAGTTTTGAGGGTAACTACGGCAATTACGGCATCAACTTATATTTATTAATATTAATATATATATATATACACACATATATATATACATATATATATATATGTAGTATTGTTTCAGATGTTGCGAGCTCAAGGTCCTGTGCTGTGGGTTCCTTCCGGATGAGTGGTTTCCGAGCCGCCACTTTTTGGGTTTGTGGTTTTAGTCAGCAAGAAGCGACGGGGATGGGAAGAGGGGAAGGACCCTGGGCCTTCTCGCGCTGTTCGGTCGGATTTGTGTGGTTCTTTTTGGGGGGCAACTCCGGGCGGGGGGACACGTTTTATGGGCTGGGGATCGCTGAATACGTGGGAGGGGGAATCTGCTTCTGGTTTTGGTACCCCTTTTGATGAAAACCGGGCCCTGGCAAGGCCAAATCAGAAGCTCAGCGATTGGTGAAGCAGTGCATAAAAGTCCCTTCTCAGCGGGAATAGTCGTTCAATTACCCCAGAGATGTGCAGGGGGACTTGAACAGAAAGAATGACCACGACATGGATATTTGCTGTCTTTGATCAGAAAGTGCAATCAACACCAACACCCTCAAGAATTCGGGATTGATTGTTTATTTTTTTCCGCTCTCTCTCTCTCTCTCTCTTCTCTCTCTCTCTCTCTCTCTCCTCTCTCTCTTCTCTCTCTCTCTCTCTCTCTCTCTCTCTCTCTCTCTCTCTCTCCTCTCTCTCTCTCTCTCTCTCTCTCTCTCTCTCTTCTCTCTTTCTTTTCTCCGCATTGCTGAAGTGCTGGAGCTAAGCTGATGACAGTGTGGCCAATGTGCATAATATGAAAGAACCGGACATTGGCGCCCATTCTAGTGTGTTCAATCTTTGCCAGGCGTTGGCACAAGTTTCAACTCGTTGTGTTTTAACATTTTTTTGAGCAGAGGTTGAATCGCCCAAACCCCGGCAAGCAAAAAGCGTCGCTGGTACCGGCGAGGCTTCTACCCGCCAACGGGTTCCGAGTGCTTTTGCACGACCGCCGCAACTGCGGTGGCAGCGATCTGGGCGGGGACGGGTGCGAGGCGGAAGAGCAAGTGGAGGATTTGAGGCGGGCCCTTGGGGGGAGGTGAAACTTGTTTCCAATTAGAGGGTAAGTCGCACGAAACTGAGGGTGACTTAGACTTCAAACATGTTCCCTGCCTTACGCAATGGGAATTAGGCTGACCCCATATGCATGAACGCGAGCAACACATCCATGGCAGCTTTAACTTATTAGCGTATGCGGTTGAGCCGATCATGTTTTTGGCAGCCACCCACAAGATGAAATGGGGCCGGGGTGACAGATTTCCCTTGTTGCAGGGACTAAGACAGAATTGCCCCCCCCCCCCCCCGCCCATGCAGGGGTGCACCAGTTTGTTTTTTAGCAACCAGCTCAGGGATTCTTTCAGACGAGCTATGATGTAGGTTTGTGAATGAGCTTGTACAGATGTTTCCAGTTGTTTTTTTTTGATACACACCCTTTACTTGCTCCTTTGCTTGCCCGCCCCTTTTTTTCCAAACTCCTTACCAACTCAGAGTTTGGAAGTGTAAAGCTTGCAGACAAATTGGGGTGTGGGCAAAAAGTAGGTACCCAAAATGGAACCGTGGTAAATGGCAAGGACTCAAACCTGCGGTCCATATCCTGGTGTTGTTTTTTTGACCCATACCCAAATCGCATCCTGCTCTTTTTTTTGGGAGGGTTCCCCTACTAAAAAAGACTACAGAAAAATATCGGGTACCCTTGTTCTAACCTCTCTACTGGAGGTCCTAGTTGCAGACAAATCGCCTCCGGGAGGCGTCTTTTGGTTTGGCTGAAGCTGAGCCCCGCGGTCATCGTGGGCAACTCCTCTGGCGGGCGCCTGGGATTGCTGCTGGCGCGGAGGCATCCTGGCCGTGCGGGGGGTCCTTGAAACATGCTTGTTGTTGGGAAACATTTTACATTTTGCTGATTGTTGTTTAGTGAATAATTTCCACTGAACTTTTTTTTGTTTGCTCCCCTTCCAACGTCAACCAAGGACAGGGGAGGAAGCATAGGTGTCCCTCATTTGGCTGCTTTTGGTTTTCTCATGTCAGTTTTCCCAGGAGTCAACCCACCCACTTCCAGCAGGTTGAAAAGCTGTCCCATGGATCCAACCCGGTGGAATCCCATTTTTCTAGGGCTACCTTCCATTTCTATTCTTTCCAGGGATCCTTCTTTCTAGGAAACCTCAAGAAACACAGGGAAAATGGCTGGTTTTTGAAAAGGACGATGGTTGAACAGAATGGGGAAGCAACCCCTAGATTGTTGGTTGCTTTGCATAGAAAATAGAGGGCCCTGGGTTAGATGGGGTTTATTCCATTTACCATCTATTTTTCCAAAAGGCCACCTATGGGAAGAAGGAGAGAAGCTCACCAACTCGGTTTGTTGTTTTTGTTGTTTTGGGGGGGAAGGAGAGAAGCTAACCAACTGGGTGTGGCTCAACATGAAACAGCAGGGGTTACGCAGGTTTTGGTCCATGTTTCCACTTACCAGGGTTCCATGTTGGTACCGTTGTTTTGAGCCACAGCCAACTTGGTTTGTTGTTTTTGTTGTTTTGGGCGGGAACCCTCTTTCGGTTGGTTGTCAAGGAACATGATGTTCGGGGTCCCCCCAGAGAAAAGCAGCGGGCCGCCCGGCTTAACCTGGTTTTACAGTTGTTTCAGCTTTGTTTTGTTCAATTAATATTTGTTGACAAATAATCACAGTTTCTGACGGATACACGCTGAATTGTTCCAGCAGGCCAACTTTTGTAGACTTGTTATTTTCAAGAGAGTTGAGTTTGAATCAAGCATTTGCACAATGACATGCAAACATTCAGGTACAGCTTCTTCAATACTTTAGAGCCTCCGGCTCAGTCCGCCGACATTGTCCTCTCCCTTTTCTCCTTCTTCCTCTCTTCCTTGTCTCCCTCGTGTGTTCTGTCGTCCTCTCTCCCTCCCTCTGCTCCCATCCTCCCCATCCCCCCAAGCCTCTCTCTCCCCACTCTCCCTCTCTCGTATGTATGCATGCATGTACATATGTATGTATGTATGTATGTATGTATGTATGTATGTATGTATGTATGTATGTATGTATGTATGTATGTATGTATGTATGTATGTATGTATGTATGTATGTATGTATGTATGTATGTATGTATGTAATGTAATGTAATGTAATGTAATGTAATGTAATGTAATGTAATGTAATGTAATGTAATGTAATGTAATGTAATGTATGTATGTATGTGTATGTATGTATGTATATGTATGTATGTATGTATGTATGTATGTATGTATGTATGTATGTATGTATGTATGTATGTATGTATGTATGTATGTATGTATGTATGTATGTATGTATGTATGTATGTATGTATGTATGTATGTATGTATGTATGTATGTATGTATGTATGTATGTATGTATGTATGTATGTATGTATGTATGTATATGTATGTATGTATGTATGTATGTATGTATGTATGTATGTATGTATGTATGTATGTATGTATGTATGTATGTATGTATGTATGTATGTATGTATGTATGTATGTATGTATGTATGTATGTATGTATGTATGTATGTATGTATGTATGTATGTATGTATGTATGTATGTATGTATGTATGTATGTATGTATGTATGTATGTATGTATGTATGTATGTATGTATGTATGTATGTATGTATGTATGTATGTATGTATGTATGTATGTATGTATGTATGTATGTATGTATGTATGTATGTATGTATGTATGTATGTATGTAATGTATGTATGTATGTATGTATGTATGTATGTATGTATGTATGTATGTATGTATGTATGTATGTATGTATGTATGTATGTATGTATGTATGTATGTATGTATGTATGTATGTATGTATGTATGTATGTATGTATGTATGTATGTATGTATGTATGTATGTATGTATGTATGTATGTATGTATGTATGTATGTATGTATGTATGTATGTATGTATGTATGTATGTATGTATGTATGTATGTATGTATGTATGTATGTATGTATGTATGTATGTATGTATGTATGTATGTATGTATGTATGTATGTATGTATGTATGTATGTATGTATGTATGTATGTATGTATGTATGTATGCATGTATGTATGTATGTATGTCTGTAGGCATGCATGTATGTATGTATGTATGCATGTATGTATGTATGCATGTATGCATGTATGTGAGTATGTAAGTAAGTAAGTAAGTAAGTAAGTAAAGTAAGTAAGTAAGTAAGTAAGTAAGTAAGTAATGCATGTAATGTATGTACGTATGTATGTATGTGTGCATGTGCATGCATGCATGTACATACATGTATGCATGTATGTATGTATGTAATGTATGTATGTATGTAATGTCATGTAATGTCATGTAATGTAATGTACTGTAATGTATGTATGTATGTATGTATGTATCCTTGCACTTCCCCTTTGCTCCCCAGTATTTCCCGCAAAAAAAACACGGTTTTTCCAGCGTTTTCGCAAAGAGGACGTCCAAAAACATTGAGTTTTTCCAGATTTTCGGCAAAAGGATGCAGGAAGCCCAAGCCAGCAAAAAAGCCGGCAGGGGGAATCGAGCCTGGGACCCCTGTTTTGCGACACCGGCTCCCCGAAGACTACGTTTAGTGGAACGTCATCAAATTGCCGCGCGGTACGTGGGGGACCCCCCCCCCTCCCCCCAAAAACCTACGTAATAGACGTCGGGCGGGGGGGGGTTAGAGTTAGAGTTGACTTCTCCCGCCGTCATACTGCGCATTTTTGTCCCCACTCCACCCGCCATACTGCACAAAATCCCACCCACTAAATCAATAAATATCCCAAATGCATTGATACAATCATCAAAAAACGATTGTATCAACCCATTTACTCCTCAACTCCTTGTAGCTTTGCTAATTCACAATGCCTTTTAGATCCATTATGACTACATTTTGATGTTTTCTTTGCTAAAAATACTTGGCACACATCGCACCACCACGAATCGCCACGATCGGCATCCAACTTCTCCCCGGCTTCTATCATTTGATATCGTTTGTGCCGACTAGTGATTAAATGCTTCGTCCATTCTGATTTAGCTACTTCTACTTTGCAAAGATCACAAAGTCGTTTTTCTCTCTTCTGTTCTAAAATCTCGTCCCTATGATTGACATAATACTTATGACATTTCTCCGCCATTTTCTCGGGATTATTTTGTTGATAAGTCTTAGCAGTAGAAAGGCAATAATTACATACTTTTCTCCCATCCTTGAACTCTCCTAGTTCTTTCTGTTTTCTGCACCTACTGCATCTCTGTAAGTTTTCCATACTACTATTTACCATCATGTCTTTAAGTGTCTTCTAACTGCGTATTTTCTAAGCTCTCCCACCGCCATACTACATAATGATCACTCCCCGAAAAATGGTTAACCAATGGAAAAGGGATAATTAAAACCGTTAACCCAAATCTTGAAAACAATCCCAGTAAAATATGGATGGCAAAATGCGGATGGGAAAGGCCTATATAGGAAAGCACCCCCACGGCTTATACATGAAAATTACACTATAATTATAACATATAAATGTTTACATGTTATAATTATATTATGAGTTCAACTCTATTTCTAATTAATTTTAAAATTCTGTTATAATTCTTTTTATTATTTTATCAGTCGTTTTTTCATTATATATATTATTTCCTATTTCCTTTTTAAACCAGCCCATTGTTCTAATTGCACTTATTACCGTATATCTAAGTTCGTGAGCTTTATACTCACAACTTATAAAATCAAAGTCATTATCATTCATTGCTTCTTTCATTAAACGCCTAGTATTATAAGACATACCATATAATCTTTTTACCAGATTATAATACTTATAAATAAAATCATTATCATTTCCTTCATCATCGCCCTTATATAATAAATTTCCAAACTCTTCTTCAGTCAAGAACTTATTCATTTTAATAAACACAAATATTTCTAAATCTTCATCAAGATTTTTAACATTTCTAGAATTAATATATTTGCTATTCATATCATCAATTTCGTTTATAATTTTATTGCAATTATCACATATCATACATTGGCAAATATTATCACAAACACCATTCAAAAAACCTTGTTTAATTGGTAATTTTAGCATCTCACAGTCTCTACATTTATAACTCATAAACTTTTCTCTGAATATATGTTTAGCATCAATATCTTCACGGACTGTATCACTATATTTGCTATATTCGCTATCTGTATCACTATATTGACTATTTTCACTTTCTGTATCACTTTCTGTATCGCTCATTGTCCTAATATACATATATAGGTAATATGTCTTTAAATACATTTTCAGAGAAATTATAATTTATAGAAATATTTGTACCACTATAATTACAACATATAAGATCTTACATGTTGTAAGTATAGCAAAACTATGGTATCAAAGGCTTTAATCTATGTATTTCCAGGGGTTGTATTCGTTTCTTCTGTTCCTTCCTTAACTCTTTTGTTGCTTTTACTTTGTCTCTGCATTCCTTACATGTTTTGTAAAATATCTCTTCCATTTTAATTCTATCATACATTTTGTGAAAATCCTTTCTTGGCTTTGCTTCGTCGCATTTACTGCAAGGATAAACCATTGTGCATCCTGTTTCTTCTTCGTCATCTGTAGAACTCATAATATTAGTTATGCCAATATGTCTTTAAACGGATTTTCAGAGAAAAATGTTTTCAATCAAGAATAAATCCCTGTATCTTCATCATAGTCGATTTGATAAAATGTCATAGTGGAAGACTTCGGTTCTTTAATTTCTTTGTTATTAAGTTTGTTTAAATAAATATTTCTTTTATTTTTATATTCACCATTGGTTCTATCTACTTCTTTACTTTGATAATTGTTTGTTAATGGTTTCTTCTTTTCCATTTCTTGTAAGATTTCTAAAATATTCTTATTCTGTTCTAAAACCTTGTTCAGTTTTTTAACCATCTTTTCTAATCCTTCATCCATGTAAATATATATATATTATAATATAAAATAAAACTTTTAAAAC